ATCTGCCCAGAAATTGCTCGTCGGAGCCTCGACAGAGGCTGGCCGGAAATCGCCTCCGACGACTCAAAATCGGTCCAAATCGCCTCAAAATCGAGGGATAGGCCGAAAATGGGGAGGAAAGCCTGGGTGTGGTGCTGGTTTGGTGAAAAATCGACCAAAGATGGCCGGAAAATCCTCAAAGAGGCGAAAAGTCACGGTTTTCCGACGAGGGGGAGAGGGTTCCGGCGAGGGGAGAAGAGTTTTCTGGCCACGCGGCCGTGTAGATCGACACGGGCTGGCCGGGGAAATCCACACGGCCATGTGAATTGCAAAACTGGCCGTGTGGAAAGTGCCGAGCCTTCACATGGCCGAGGGACAAAACCACACGCCCGTGTGAGGGACCCCTCCTGCCCGTGTCAACTGCCCAGGGCCTCCACACGGCCAAAACCCAATTCCACACGGCCGTGTGAGTTTTAGGACTGGCCGTGTGGGCTGCCAGAACCCTGAATTTGACCTGTTTTCACACAAAATCGACATTCGACTCTTGGACAACACCTCAAGACTCAAAACACAAAAAAATCAAAAGGAAAAAGGTGAGAAAATGCAAACCTAGGTGGGGTTGCCTCCCCACAAGCGCTTCTTTACCGTCTTTTAGCTGGACGCCAGTAGGTGGATGCTTAGAGAGGTGTAGAGCAGGTGCCTTCAAGAGCGGATCCACATCGCTCTTGAGGTACAGCTTTAGATGGTGGCTATGCACACGGCGGATGTGCCCACCAGCACTCGTCAACTCGACCTGGCCATCCGGCAAGATGCAAGCGAGTGAATACTCGGATGGCCAAGGTGGTCGAGGTTCAGGGGGCGGGACCAGCTCATAGTGGTCTTCGGCTTTCTTTTGAGCAGGCTTAGCTGCCTGCAGTTTCGGCCGCCACTCCTCCTTGATCTTTCCCTTTGATGTCGGGGTGGACGGGAGTGGCGGCGGAGATATGAGAAGGGGATCCTGCAAAATGGGAAGCACAGAAGGATACACGACAGACTCGTGCTCCTGGTGAGAAACAACATGCAAGGGCGATGAAGCAGGGAGAGTATTAGCAATGGAAAATGTTATTTGCTCATCGCCATCCCTCAAGACTAATGTCCCATCATGCACGTCTATGAGAGCCTTGGCGGTGGCCAGGAAAGGCCTTCCGAGTATAAGGGGCTCTTCTGTGTCTTCATTGATGTCCAGGACAACAAAATCCACAGGATAAAAGAATCTGCCAATCTTAACCAGAAGGTCGTCCACTATGCCCCTAGGGTGAATTATAGATCGGTCAGCTAATTGAACACTCATCCTTGTTGCATAGGGTTCACCTAGGCCTAGTTTCTTGAACAATTTATACAGTATCACATTAATACTAGCACCTAGATCCGCCAAGGACCTCTCTACATGCAATTTACCTATAGAGCACGGGATAGTGAAACTACCTGGGTCCTTTTGCTTCTGCGGAAGCTTGTTCTGCAGAATGGTCGAGCACTCCTTGTTGAGCTCCACCCTGGCCAGCTCGCTCAGCCTTTGCTTCTTCAAGAGAAGCTCCTTCAGGAACTTCGCATACTTAGGCATTAGAGATAGTGCCTCCATGAAGGGCACTTGAACATGCAGCTTCCTAAGCATGGACGAGAAGTTGCCAAACTCTGCCTCTAGCCTGTCTTTGTGAATCCTGGTGGGAAAAGGGAGCTTAGGCTTATATTCAGCCACTACAGGTTGTGGCTTTTGAGCTTGTTCCTCTGGCTCCTTTTCCATCACCAGGTCTTCTTCCGTCTCTGGGGTGATCTGGGTCACCTTCTATGCACTCTTCTGCGGTGCATCCGCAGTCACAGTCCCACTTCTCAGCATTATGGCGCACAACTCCTCCTTATGATTTCTGGGATTCGGTAGGGGTTGACCAGGAAGTGTGCCAGCCGGTCTGAAAGCAAGGGCATCTGCCAGGTGCCCGATCTTGGTGTCCATATCCTGCAGGAGTGCTTGCTGGTTTCTCTAGCCAGCTTCAATCTCCATGAATTTGCCTGCAGCCTATTCCATGAATAACTCCAATTTATTGAACTTTTGGGTATTAGTGCTCGCCAAGCTAGTCACTAGATCCCTCAGTTCTGACACGGGATCCCCTGGTACTGGGACTGATGGAGGTGCACCAGGTTGCTGGTACTGCTTCTGTGGGGGCTATTGAAAAGCCTGCCCCTGTCTGGGCTGATAGAGTGGCTGTTGTTGCTGCATCTGGCCCGACTGAGGCTGGTATGGGTACCTCTAGTGTGGAAAACTAGCTGCGAGAGCCTAGAAGCCAGGTGGCTTTGGATTGTTGTTGCCACTCCAGGAGAAATTTGGATGCTGGCGCCATCCCTCATTGTAGGTATTACTGTAAGGATCGTTGCGCCTGGTATTGTTAATGAAGTTCACCTGCTCCGGGGATGTACTGGACTCACGCATCGCATGGCAGTCTTCCACAGTATGATGGGTGCTCTCGCACTACTGACAATGCATCGCCTGCTGATGTACTGCCCCTGGGATCATTCCAGAATGATCAATGGCTGAAACCAGTTTAGATACCACCTGCACCAAATCAGATGACTGGGTGGCTACAGCATGCACACCCCGCCCTAGTGTTCGTCTCGATCGCCTCGCAGTTCCCCAGTCATAGCCCTGCTCTGCCATCTCTTCAAAAAGTTGATTCAGCTGGGACGGTGTTTTGGTGAGCATATATTCCCGCCACAGATCGAGTCAATCAGCTGCTTGTCTTCCGGGAAGAGGGCATGGTAGAAGGTGCCCACCTTGAAGGCGTCGGTAAAACCATGGTTGGGACGCTTGAGGAAGAGACTGGTGTATCTCTCCCAAGCATCCCGGATGGTCTCATCTTCGTCCTGAGCAAAGTGGGTAATTTGCTTCTGCAGGTCCGCCGTCTTGGACGAGGGATGGTAACGCGTGAGGAACTTGTCCGCCAGATTGGCGAACGTGGTGATCGAGCCTGGAGGTCGAGTGTCTAGTCACTCCTTGGCCTGCCCCTCCAGAGTAAATGGGAAGTACCTTAGCTGGATGGCATCTGCTGGGACCCCATTTATCTTGATTCCATCGATAGGCTCGTGGAATCGCCTCAGATGTGATCGGGGGCACTCCCCCTCTTTGCCACGGAACACCACCGAACCGCGCAGCATGGTGATGACAGAGGTGCTCATCTTGAAATTATTGGCTGGCACATGAGGGTGTTGAATGGGCGACCTCATGTCCGCGGCCGTGGCGGTCCAGTAGTATCCCAGGGTCTGCTCCTCAGGAAGGACCACATCATGGTCCTGTGGATCACCCATCTCTTCTTCGTCGGCGATTTGCAGCTATGCTAGCGCCTCCTCCGCAGCCAGTCGCGCCTTTAGAGCCCACTTGAAGTTCCTACTGGTCCGTTCAAGCTCCTGGTCTTACGGTAGTAAATCTCCCGACTGGCTACGGGTCATGCACTACCTGCAGACAATAAGCAAAAGCAACCCGTGAAGGTACACAGGTGAAAGAGAGAAAATACAATAAAGAAAAAGCTAGAGTAACAAACTTTCACGTTTCTCCAATAACCTCGAGGTTCCCCGGCAACGGCGCCAAAAACTTGAAACGCTACGACACAACACCAAACCGCGACCAAGTGTAATCGTAGTCCGGGAATGCAGTAAAGTAGCAAGTTCTAATTATCAACCAGGGGTCTAGATCTACTGCCTACTCCGTGAATATCAATTATATAGCCAACTAAGTCGATTGATTGTGGTTTTAACTAAAAGCAGTAAGAAAGCAGGAATTGATTTGGTTTTCTTAAGCAAAGGAAGAGTCACTCGGGAATGAGTCCCCCTAGCTCCTTAGCTAGGTCTCAGTTGTAATTACCCTGGGTTGATTTACTGTTGATTAAACTGCGAAAGATCCGACAGTAGCTTGGAATCTCTTAAGCTGACCAAGCCCTCTCAGTCTAACTACCCGGCAGACGACTAGTCTTCACCAGGATAGAAAGCTGAAGCAATAAGAACAGAAATCCACTACTGGAATTGGATTCCAGTACAAAGCAGTAGACTAACTAACTCTCGTATAACCAATCCACTACTACCGAATGATGAAGCTCTAACAACCTAATCAGATTCTATCTATCTCAGGTTGCAGCAAAAAAAATCAAGAAAAGCTGATCAGACTTCAATTAATTCAATGAATCATGCATCATTCGATTAAAACCAAACAGTATAGCAATCCCAAGTCATTACAATCATGATCCCTAACACATGGAACTAGGGTTCTTCATACCCAAGTGAGAGAGGGTTCTACTCCATAGAGAGAGAGGAAAACAGAATACAAAGCAGTCATACTCAGAACAATGGGAAGAATCTGCTCTGGGATGATGATCTTCACTCCTATGATGATCTCCAAGCTCGATTGATGAAACCTAGCTCCAAAATCACTTCTAGGATGTGTTCTTCGTACTTTCTCTCTCTAGGGCTCTGTTTTTGCTCTGAAAAGTTTATCCCCTCTCATTTGGCTCGAATTTGGGTTAAAACCCAGAATTCCCGACTCACACGACCAAGCCACACGGCCGTGTGGCTATCCCAGATGCCCGTGTGAGTTGTGCAAAACACGGAGTTTCTATAGTGGCTTCAGGCTTCCTACACGGCCACGACCCACACGGCCGTGTGGACTTCCAGGGTGCCCTTGTGAGTTCCCTGGAATTTCCACACGGCCACAAAGGGTCCCCTACACGATCGTGTGGCTTATAGGCATGCCCATGTGACTTCTCAGCTTCTCGCCAAACGTCCAAACTTCGTCCAATCGACCCCGAACTCGTTCCCAAACCTTCATTCACGTACTAGGACCTAAAATCACAAACAAGCACAACCTAGTATGAAATCGGCCTAAAACACAAGAATCAACATCTCAAACGGCTCAAGAATAGGGGTAAAAACATGTGCAATTAATGGTCTATCACAAAGTATCATTGAATTATCCCAATCCCCTTCCAATCCCTAATTCTGTTCTAATCTTCTCCAAATATCTAAATATCTTCTATCAATTCATAATCCAATCCCCCACTACCCTTCATCCATCCATCAGATGGTATCAGAGCAGGTTCAATCCTGGAAACCGTTCGAAGATGCCGTGAACCGATTCATGGCGAAGCTTCAAGAGAACGCCGACCGGTATGTGCTCTGGTTAAGAGAACACGAGCTCGCATCAACCTGCAACGCGTTCCCCACCACGGCGCTAGCACCAACCCCTTCCACCGGGATCGAACGTGGCATCCAAGTCAACAAACCGCTCCCAGGTGCAGCTTCCGCGAAGGCCCAGCCGGCCGTGGAGGAGCTTGTGGTGCAGCCAACAGCGAAAAAACCCTCGCCACAGGAGGTGGAAGAACCGTCCACCGAGGAGACTGCGGCTGCCGATGCGCCCATCTTCGGCGCGGCTGAAAGCCAGCCAGTCGTGGCCGGAGAGCTTGAGATCACTATCACGGACAACATTGCAATATCCACCACCACACCGTCATTGAGGCCTGGGATAGCGACCACTAAAGCAGCAGCATCCGGGAGTGAGGGCGCCGTCGTAGAGGTGGGGAAAGAAGATCATTACTGCTGTTGCCTACTTGCCTTGCTGCTGTGAAGTCTAGGAGCTCAAGAACAACACGCGCGGATACATGGGCTAATGATACATGGGCTTCCAAGAATTGGTCGCAAGCTCTCAATGAACAACATATAATTGGCTGTTTTTCATTGGGGTACAAGTTTGTTATCTCGAAGAAAGAAGCCTTGCACCAATCATTGAGGTGGAAATTTTTGTGGCTTTGTGCTTGGAAGATCAAAAGGAAAGTGGATGATGAAGGAAGTCGCATTCACCAAGTGTCTACTATTTTAGTTTTGGTATTTAGTTATTGTAGGTTTAGAATAAAATGTCATAAGTTAGATATGTGATTTAGGGTAAACGTTAGTGTTAGTTTGAATTGATGTTTGACATCAACCTTGAGGTCAAGGTTGGTTTCAAGAGGGGTGGACTGATGGAGGTACGCCTTTAGATCAAGGGGCAGTTTAGTCATTACTTAGGGTTAAGTCAATTAGGGTTTCGGGTTAGTGTCTATATATTGTCATTTTACCTATTTCGTCAGAACCAATCAATAAACAACTTATCAAAGTATCGTTGAATTATTCCAATCTCCCTTCCAATCCCTAATTCTGTTCTATTCTTCTCCAAATCCCTAAATATCTTCTATCAATTCCGAATCCAATCCCCCACTACCCTTCATCCATCAGCCAGTGACGGGTCAATGGGGTTTCTAACTAAGTAACTTTCACTGGTGTTGCTGGTCTTCATGGCATGTGTTTAACGAATAACCCAAATCATCTAAATTTGTTTTTAAATTCAGGTTTAGATTGATGGTTTTGTGATTGTTGTGTCTATAAGGACAAGGTGAAGCAGCGTTTAGATCTAGTCGGCAGTGCAAGGAGGCTGAGTGATCATCATATATGTTTTAGTTCATTATCTTCTTCCTATCCTCAGAGTAATGAATCATGATCAAACTCTTCTCTTTTGCTGTGATGAATATTTTATAATATTGTAGTTATTTTTTATAGCAGAGAGTGGTGGTTCCATGGATGTTTCGGAAAGAAGAGTGTTAATTAATTAATTAATATATAAAAGTCAAGGTTGTAGGTTACTATTTATTAGTGGCTCTCAGACTCCTCCAAGTGCAAGTGGGAAAGTTCCAAGTCCTTCTTTTACCTCACTCTCCATTCTACAACCATTGTGTTTAGTTATTGTTCACTAGATTTTCATCTATGACTTTTTTCACAAATCATCGCCTTTGTCTTTAGTTATTGTTCGCTAGGTTTTCATCTATGGCTTCTTGCACAAATCCTTGCCTTTGCCCACTATTTTGCAGCTCATCTCGAAATACCGTCGGCGAAATTCTAAGTTGTTCCCCACCACCGTTTCCCAAGGCCGTTATCACGAGTTTTGTATCGGGATTGAGTTTCATCCTCTTTAGTGTTTTTTCTTTCTCTTTTTCCTTTTTGTTGAGCATGACGACAATTGAACCCAAACACAAGGGTATCCTAACTTGAACACAAATCATCGCCTTTGCCCACGATTTTGCAACCCATCTCGAATTATTGTAGGCGAAATCCTAAGTTGTTCCCCATCACCGTTTTCCAAGGCCGTTACCATGATTTTTGTATCAGACCAAGTTTCATCCTCTATAGTTTTTTTCTTTCTCTTTTCCCTTTTTGTTGAGCGTGATCACAATTGAACCCAAACACATGGGTATCCTATCTTGAACACAAATCATCGTCTTTGCCTACCATTTTGAAGCCCATATCGAAATACTGTCAGCGGAATCCTAAGTTGTTCCCCACCATCGTTTCCCAAGGCCGCTACCACGAGCTTTTGTACTAGGACCGAGTTTCATCCTCTTTAGTGTTTTTTCTTTCTCTTTTTCCTTTTTGTTGAGCATGATCAAAATTGAACCCAAACACATGGGTATCCTAACTTGAACCCAAACACATGGGTGTTCGTTAGTTTTACATCTATTGTCCATTGTATTTCCCATAACAATTATTGCCTACTAGGTTTTTAGCTCTCTATTGGAGCAACTATCCACTTCTCGCACGATTTCGCAACCCGAATCTAAGGTATTGACGAGTGTTGTATTGTGAGCGAGCTTTATCCACTTTTGTATTTGGAAGCTTGGACCAAGTGTTAATTTGTTAAAAAATTGTTCAAAGCGACTTGAACACATTGTTGACCAGTTTTAGATCGAAAGCAAGTTTTGTACGCTTTAATATTTTTTATTTCTCATTTTCCTTTTAGTTAAGGATGACAATTGAACTCTGACCCATTGTTGACGCGTTTCGTATCGAGAGCGAGTTTTATCCTCTTTTGTAATTGACAGTCTGGGTAAATTGTGAATTTGTTAAAACTGGGTCGGCCCGGTCAAAGCAAGTTGAACGCGGTGTTGAGAGTTTGGGTTCATGAGCGAGTTTTATCCGCTTTAGTATTTTTATCTTTTTCCTTTTGGTTGAGAATGACAGTTGAGTCCAAACGCATGGGGTATACAAACTAATTCGACCAGACCAAAGCGATTTAAAACTGATTTTACAGGTTTTTGATGGGAGTGAGTTTTATCTGTTTTTGTAATTGGCGGGTTGTGTCAGGTGTGAATTTGTCCAAAACCTTGTTCAACTGGGTCAAAACGAGTTGAACCTGGCGTTGACGAGTTTTGAGTGGGTAGCGAGTTTTAGCGTTAGTATTTTTCATTTCGCTTTTTCCTATTGTTTGAGAAAGACAATTGAACCCAAATCCATGTGTATCCAACCTAATTTGACCGATCAATGCAAGTTGAACTTTCTCAAACCTGCAATCAGTCCAAAATTTTCATAAAGGAGAACCACGATTAGCTCAAACCCAAAAAAAAAAAGCCAAAAGAGTATGACTATGTTTGGCCCGAATTTTAGAAGTTTTATGTTTTGAAAGTTAAAGCCAAAGTCAAACACCTCTAAAGTTACACTTAAAAAAAATAAAGTTTTTCGTAACTTACAAGTCGAAGCTCCAATTTGAAAATTCAAAATTGTACTTACCATATAATATTCTTTTTCTAGAGAACATATTTCTTTCATTTATATCATAATAAAAAAATAAATTGAAAAATATTATCATTTAATGTGAAATAAATCTAATGTGATCCATTTTAAATACCTTTTATTTTTAGAATTTGTATTCATATTTTATGTTAGAAATCTGTTTTTAGTAATTTCCTATTAGTTCTTATATTAGAAAGTAATTATGATAGTTTTTTAGCTAAACACACAATAGTTTTTTTTAAATACTTCTTGAAAAGATTATGAGAAACTGCTTCATTCTGCAAACGTTACAGCAGGATGAACTAATAGTCATACAAATTGAAACATTAGCGTCATTAAAGAAGTTTAAACACAAATAATCTATTCGACGACCCTTCTACCTTATGCAAGTTTATCGACCAAATGTTCTTGTAAATAACAAACCTATGAAAAGAATGATTAGGAATGAAATAATAACACTTTCACTTTTGGGTCAACATTAAAATTATTACTATTTAAAATATTTATGTTCTGATACGCGAAGCGATAGCGAGCGGAGTTTTACTAGTTATAAGTGAAAGGGCACTGTATTTCGAGAAGATAAATGTCCACTGCTCGAAAAGGGTAATCTGGAATCTTTCTTTGGTGTTGTTGATGACTTGATGTAGCTCCATCGTCTCCGCCCTCACGGTCACCGCCTCACTGGTTTGTATACTTTCTTCTTTTTCCTATCAATCGATTGAGTATGAACTATGAATGTTCACTTATTTTTCCTTCTTTCTGTGGAGAAGACACAAATCGAATGAAGGAAATGAAAGGGCAATGGAAGATTAGTGATTTTGACCAATGAGTCAACTTTAGTAATCTAACCGGTTGATAGAACCAGAATGGGCTTTACTCGGACAAGCCCACATATCCAAGAGACAGATCCGGAACTTGAACTGTGTTGGCCCAAGCTCGGTGAAGTAGGAACAGAGTCGATCGTCTTCTTCACAGAGCCAAGACTCTGTCGAGTTAGAGAGAAGCAAAACAGAGGAAGAAGAGAGGGATAAGAAGGAGCAGAAAGTAAAGTGCACAGCAGATTTTAACGAGGTTCACCACAGGGCTACTCCTCGTCCCAGGATAGTACCACCATCCTGAGAGACACTTTGATTTTCTTTTTGATTGCGCAAAGAAAAAGAACAGAACAAAACGAAGTATAGACTCTGGTGAGAAAATCAAAATGCCACAGACCTAGACCCGAATTCTCGCAGGAATTCGATACACCCTTTGATCAAGCTGAACCTCTACCCCAGCTTGAATCAAAGCCACTGATTCCCAAACCCAACCATTTGTTCTTTGCCACAAAGGAATCCCTGTTTGCTTCAGTGCCGAGCTCCTTCCCTTCTGCTTCTTTAAATAGGTCTTTCAAGGAGCCGTTGGAAGTTGAAGTTGGACCAGAAAGGGTAAGTGGAGCAGTTATCGATTGAGATCTTTGATTGATTGATCTGCTCCCCCTTGAATCATGATCTGGTAATCTCCTAACTTGATTCTTGCCAACTCAACAATCTCCCCCTAAGTTGGAGATTGCCAATTGTCCGCTTGATCCTTGCAAAACAGATACCACCTTCCACACACAACATCTAATCTGCTCTTCTAAGCAGATAACACATCAAAAAGATGCATTCTACCACACCACACATTCAGCAATTTGAAAAGCAAATATTCAACACTCAAGAGAGCATAACAAAAGTAAATCCAGTGAGTCCTAAAAAAGCTGGGAAAAGACACGTCCAACAAACCAAAGGTTCGAAATCATCAACTGTCATCAATTAAAAAGTAGAGCTAATCGGATCCATAAGCATCTTGAAGAGCAGCAAACACATCACTTAACGGAGGGGAGCCAGGATCAGAGTCCTCCTTATCACTGTCACTGCTGCTGCTGCATTGATCCAATGTACTTCTACATCCTGATGAGGTTCATCTTCCTCAGATTCAGAGTCAATCTCTTCTTCAGCATGTTCCTCCTGTGGATCATCGTCTGAAGTGTCCTCCCCCTCAATGGCAATGGCAATCTCGTCCAGGACATCATCAGCAGTAATAAAGATGGTAGGAGTGGTGGAGCGGGAAGGGTCAAGAGAGATCTCAAGACGAGTAATTAGAGGACCGAAAGGAAGATGACCATGGTATTCAAAATACTGGAACATGTAGAGATGTCCAAAAAGCAGATGGGAGAAGTTTAGAGGGACATTGTTCACAGCATGCTGAATAACCCAGAGATCTAGAGGGGTGACTCTATCTAAAAGAACTGTTCTATGAAGGAAGCGATGATTGAGGAAGAAGTGAAAGGTTCGGATACCATGTAACAGAAAG